GCTGAGGCAGGAGAATCGCTTGAACCCAGGAGGCAGAGGTTGCAGTGAGCCGAGATCGCACCACTGCACTCCAGCCTGGGCAACAGAGTGAGATTCTGTCTCAAAAAAAAAAAAAAAAAAAGAAAAAAAAAAGAAAAGAAAATGTAGTGATTATTTTATTGTGGATGATTTTACCTCATACAACATTTCCAACATTGTGATTAATAAATAAAAGTTGTGCTGCCAGAAAAGAAAAAAAAAGAACGAATGGAGAGAAAATCAGCAAAGATGTAGAACTGAATAACACCATCAACCAAATGGAAACAATTTATATGTATACAAAATGCTACCTAATAATAGCAGAATAAACATTATTTCCAAGTGCACATGGAACACTCATAAAAACAGGCCACATTCTGGGCCATAAAGCAAGTCTCTACAAATTTAAGAGAATTAAAATCATACAAAGTATGTTCTTTAAGCATAATGAGATCAAACTAGAAAACAATAAGAGAAAGATAACAGGAAAACATCCAAACACTTGGAAACTAAGAAAACACACTTCTAAATAACCCAAGTCAAGAAATGTTTTTTAAAACATGAGAACTAAGGCAGGGCCAATGGCTCACACCTGTAATCCCAGTACTTTGGGAGGCCAAGGTGGGCAGATCACTTGAGGTCAGGAGTTCGAAACCAGCCTGGCCAAGGTGGTAAAACCCCATCTCTACTAAAAATACAAAAATTAGCCAGGTGTGGTGGCGCATGCTTGTAATCCCAGCCACTTGGGAGGCTGAGGCAGGAGAATCACTTGAACTCAGCAGGCAGAGGTTGCAGTGGGCAGAGATTGCATCACTGCACTCCAGTCTGGGTGACAGAGTGAGAATCTGTTTCAAAATAAATAAATAAATAAATAGAACTGAATGAAAATTGAAACACAATATATCAAAATTTGTGGAATACAGCTAAAACAATGCATAGAGGGAAATTTATAGCATTAACTGCTTATATTAGAAAAGAAAGAAATGTCTCAAATCAGTGATCTAAGCTTATGCTTTGTTAAAAAAGAAAAAGAAGACTACAGTAAACAAAACAAGCAGAAGGAAAAAATAATAAAGACTAGAAATTAATTAAATAATAAATGTCAGAAATCAATGAAATTTAACACAGAAAAATAATAGAGAAAAAATAATGAAACCAAGAAGATGATTCTTTGAAAGATCAATTTTATTGATGAACCTCTAGTTAAACTGACCAAGAAAAAAGAAGACAACTTACAAACATCAGTAATAAAAGAGGGAACATTACCACAGACCCTACATACATTATGAATATAAATGTGACAACTAGGATAAAAAATACCTTGAAACAAATTACAAAAGCTCACTCCAGAAGAAATAGTTATATTTAAGTCCTGTATCTATTAGTGACATTAAATTCATAGTAAAAGCCTCACAAAAAGAAAACTCCAGCCCTAGATGCTTTCACTGGCAAATTTTATCAAACATTTAAGAAAGATATATTGCAGGCTGGGCGCAGTGGTTCACGGCTATAATCCCAGCACTTTGGGAGGCCGAGGCGGGCAGATCACCTGAGGTTGGGAGTTCTGAGACCAACCTGGTCAACATGGCGAAACCCTGTCTCTACCAAAAATACAAAAACTAGCTGGGTGTGGTGGCACGTGCCTGTAATCCCAGCTACTCAGGAGGCTGAGGCAGGAGAATTGCTTGAACCTGGGAGGTGAAGGTTGCAGTGAGCTGAGACTGCACCATTGCACTCCAGCCTGGGCGACCAGAGCAAAACTCTGTCTCAAAAAAAAATAAAAATAAAAAAGAAAGATATAATACTAGTTCTACACAATCTCTTACATGATATAGAATGTGAAAGAAACTTTAAACTTTCCACCTCATTTTATGAGGCTAACTGTACTGATATTAAAACCTGACATGGACATTATAATAAAAGAATACCACAGAACAAGATAACTCATGAAAACACATGCAAAATTCCTCAACAAAATAGGAGCAAATTGAATTCAGCAATATAAAAAAATCAAAACAAGTGGTGTTTATCCTGGGAATGAAAACCTATTTCAACTTTTGAAAAATCAATTTGATTCAGCTTATCAACAGCCTAAAGAAAAAAAAAAAAGACATTTGATCGTCTTAATAGATGCAGAACAAACATTTGACAAAATTTAACATCCATTCTTGATAAAATCTCTCTGCAGTCTAGGAAAAAACAAAAGGAACTTTCTCTGCCTGACAAAGGGCGTCTATAAAAACAAAACAGAAAAACTCAATGAAAATCATTCTTAATGGTGAACAACTGAATGCCTTCCCCCCTAAGATTAGAAACAAAGCAAGGATATCTGTTTTCACCACTCCTAGTCAACACTGTACTGGAGGTCCTGGCCAGTGCAATAGGCAAGGAAAAAAATTAGTGCCATACAAACTGTAAAGGAAGAAATAAAACTGTCTCCATTCCCAGATGACAAATTGCTTTAAAAATTCCAAAAAGCGACCAAGAAAAAAGCTACTAGAACTAAGTGAGTTTAGCAAGGTTGCAGCATACAAAATCAGTATACAAAACTCAATTGTATTTCTTCATCCTAGATTTTTTCTTTGCAGAACAGTTCTCCAGGTAGCCTTAGACCAACCTAGTTCTCCCACTTTGTTGTTTGTAGTTATCAAGAATGACTGTAAAACTTGCTGGGAATACAACATCCTGAGACAGGGAGGAACTGACCAGAACAGCCTGGGCTCTCTTCCAGTCCCTCTACAGAAGACAGATGTCCTTCAAGGCTTTATCCCAGAGAGTCCTGATGCTCCTGAGGTATAAAACCCAGAGTAGGCTGTCTTCCAGAGTCCCACAGCTGCAGTGCAAATGGGGTACGTGCAGATAAGATTCCACCCGATTTCCTTATTTTTCTTATCTGCTATATATTTAGAAACTATGAAGGGATGCTTTCACTTATTAAATGATTTTTCAACATCTCGAAGTGAGCATGTGGTTTTTCTCCTTTGATCTGTTAGAGTAATGAATTCTATTAATATAGAATAATAGAATTAATCAGTTTAATAATACAATGGTGAAACACTTTTGCCTTATTAAAACAAATGCTACAAGCCAGGCACAGTGGCTCATATCTGTAATCCCAACACTTTAGGAGGCCAAGGCAAGAGAATCACTTGAGGCCAGGAGTTCAAGACCAGCCTGGGCAATATAGCAAGACCCCATCTCTTAAAAATTGTTTTTAAATTAGTTGGGCATGGTGGCATGTGCCTATACTCCCAGGTACTCAGGAGGCTGAGGTGAGAGGGTCATTTGTGCCCAGGAAGTCAAGGCTACAGTGAGCTGTGATCATGCCACTGTACTCCAGCCTAGGTGACAGAGCAAGACAGACCCTGTCTCAAAAAAAAAAAAAAAATTTAAAAATGCAGCAGCCATGATGTATATTTAATTTCCTAAATCTATATTTAGGATATTCTGTGTTCATAAACAAGATAGATCTGTCATAATGTTTTCTTGTCCTGTTCTAGTTTGGGTGACAAGATTATACAAGTCTCAAAAATTGAATTGGGTTGCCTCTCTTTTTTTCTGTGCTTGTAATTTATTTATCAGCTTCACATGCAGTAAGTCCTTTGAATCTAAGTATCCGTGTCTTTCTTCAGTCCTACAAAATTTATAGCCATCATTTGTTCTATCACTCATGGTCTCTATTGCTCCCCACATCTTCCCAACCCCGGGGTATTCTTATGAATAGATACTGAAACATTTGACCCCATCCTCCATGTATAACTTTTCTTTCATTTTGCTCATCTCTCTATCCCTTTGTACAGCACTCTGAGGGAATTACCTCAAATTTCAAGCTTGCTAATTTTATCCAACTATGAATTATATGCTCTTCACCCATATATTGGGTCCTTTTTAACAAGAAAAGATGTATTTTTTGCAAGATCTCTATTAGGATCTTTTTCATAACTGTTTGTTCTTGTTTCCCATATGTAATTCCTTCCTTTATCTCTCCAACAATAACTGCAGACTTTTTAAAGTTTTCTCCTAATGCATTATTGACTTGTGTATATTTTTCCATTTCCATGTGTTATCTCTCTTAGTGAAGTTGGCTTTCCTCAAATATTTTTTGAGTCTTTACTGTGTCCTTGCCATTGTGGTTGGGAATCTCTGCTGGATGGCTAGGTGGGAACTGCTGCCATGATTCTGAGGGTTTCGGTTGAGAGGGAAGGGCCACAGTATGCTGCAGTTTGGTGCCTTCTCACCTGGGCAGTGATACATCTTGTTTCTGCCAGGTGTGGCCAGTTACCTAAAGTACCACCTGGTCTCTGATCCAAGCTGCAACCCCTACTGTTCTCTAAGTCTGTCATCTAAAGGCAGACATCTTCACCTTTGCCCTTGGCCCACGGCAGAAGGAGAATGTGCAACAATCAATCAAAGAAAAACCCCAACTAACCACACCATTGGTAGCCCCTAGGGTCTCTTCTGCCCTGTTTGCACCGCCTCTAGTCCAGAGGCAATGTGCAGAGCTCTCCCACATATATATACCCTACTCTCGAGTTTCATCCGTATAATCTGCCATCTGTTCTCTGTCTTTTCCAGAATCCTGTTGTTTCTAGTCTACTGAGAGCCCCCTTTCTTGCTTTCAAATGGAACTGTGTATAGTGTTTGTTTGTTCTGTTTCTCTCATGTCTATTATTTCTATGCATTTGGTATAGAGGAGATAGACTGCAGTGTGTGTTCGCTCCACCATCTTGAAACTGATGTTTTCCCTCTGTCCCATCTCCCTCCACAACCCCGCCCAGTAGCAAATACCTGGCCCTGTGACCAAGGGCTCAGGAAGCTATCAAATCTTTTTCTTAGGAAAAGAATTCGAAAGTTCGTGGTGTTGATTGGTTTTTGCCCCTGTTACCCCTAGGATGTAACTTCTGGGGTCTGAAGTCGAGAGTCCAAACCCCAGCTGCCCCACCCCCTCCAAGGAGTCCTTTGCCCACGTAGAGTCCAGCATAGATTTTGTGAAAATAGACTTTATTATAATAAAATGTCTTTTTAAACAAATTCCCCCACCATTCCACACCCCTGGAGACCAAGGTGGGAATGGGGGTTCAGTCAAACAATCTCCCACCACAGCAAAGGAAACATGCAAAGAGACACTCACCCGGCAGAGGGTGGGGGATGGAGTGGATAGGGTAAGGGTGGAGAACCCCCTACCCCACTCTGAACGGGGAATGTATGAAAATAGTTGCATAAATCTGTCCTTTTCTCCAGCCCCTGGACTCCAACAGGGGTTAAAAGAAAACTATGCAAAAGAACTTGAATCCAATGAGCAAAATAAGGCAAACCCAACTCCGCTTTCGGCCCCGCGGGCCCCAGGGTCTTTGGGGGCGGGACCATACAAGGGCCAGGAGGCCCCGGCAAGGAGGGGTGGAGCACGACGGGGGCGGGGTGGGGCCTGCTTTGGCTTGGCCTTTCTCCTTCCGGGGCCTTGCAGTGGAAGCGAGGTGGAAGAAGCTGAACTGAGGCACTGAGTATGTACATATATACACGGCTCCGCCCGCCTGCCCGCTGGGGAGGTGGGGCTCCAAGAAAATCCAGTGCAAACTTTCCTTCAGGGGAGGGAAGACATGATCAGGACAGCCAAAGCCATCAGGGGACACAGGCTCCTTTCTCCCCGCAGGGCCCATCCTGGGACTGGGGAGGGTGGCAGAAGGGACTAGCGCAGCACTGTGGGACACTAGTAGACGAGGTGGGTGGACCAGGATGCGAGGGTCCTGGGTCCAGTCCTGGCTCAGTGACCTTGGTCGAGTTACATACTCACTGTGGGCTCAGTTTCCCCTACTGTAGGAGGAAGGTGCTTCTCTAGAGAGTTCATCCTTAAGGAGCCATCTAGCTCTGACCTTCACGGAGGCTCTTTGATCCTCTGAGTGCCACAGTGTTAATGCAGAAGAACAGGGGCTCTGGGCCCAGTCTGAGCCTTCCCTGCTCAGCAGAGACGGTGGTCTGGGGGCCTCTCAGGGCCTCTTCTGCCTGCAGGATGGGCCACAGCTTCACTCCTTCTTCCCAGAGCCCAGCCTCCTGAGGAGCTGTTTCCCCTTGGAGAAGAAACCCCACACCTTCTCGCTTCTGCCCTGGGGCTCCCCACGTTCGATCCTGGGGGCGCTGTCAGGGCTGGGAGCACAGGGCCCACCTGGGGGCCCGGGGGGCCCTTGTGTGGTGCAGCCCCAGTCCTGAAATGTGAGACAGAAGGAGCAAGGTCAGGGCCTGATTCCCTCCCGACCCCCTGACCACTTTTCTCTCCACAGCCTCAGCGGCCTACAGCCTCCCATGTCATGGAACCATGGGTGAGAACCAGAGCCTCACCTCCCACCACGCACTGCCAGACACACACAGCACAGGCGGTGAATGGGGAGGGTGATGCCGAGGGAGCACTGAGCTGGGAGTCCCAGGGGATGCAGTCTTGGTTCTGGATTGCTCACCTGTGACCCTGCCAGGTCCCTTCCCTTCTCCCTCCAGGATGCAGGGCTGACAAGGCCCAAGAGTTCTTGGAAGCTGCCCCTCGGGATGGGTGCCCCCAACTTCTCACATGTCACCTCTCTCCCAAAAAACAGAGTGCAAGGACAAGGACTGCTTAGAAGCAGCTGTCACTGCCAAGGAAGGTAGTTTCCACAGCCCCTCGTAGACAGGAGCGTCTCCCCAAACTCAGCAGGTGTGGCACCCCCAGGCCTTCAGGGAATGGAGCCAGTACCTACTCCATGGGGAGGAAGATTGGGACTCTACCTTAAGGGCCCTAAAAGGACTGTGGGGAGGCCAAGGACCCAGAGGGACTCACAGCTGGGGGCATCACTCAGCCCCAACCACAGGCTCTGGAGGCTGCAGCATCTTCTCCCTTACTGAATCTCCTCCTAATTCCACTCCCTTTGCCTCGAGCCCACCCAGACGGCGCTCCTTAGTGATCTAAGGCCAGGAAGCTGGGAGAACAGAGAAGCCACCAGAAAGCCCCCCACACCTCTGTTCCCACCTTCACCTCCGGGACCTGGCACAGCTCTGTCAGCTCTTGCCAGCCTGCATTTCTTCCTTTCCTCAAACTCCCACTCGCTGCCCAGAGCCTGGCAGGCTCCCAGCCAGAACCAACTATAGAGCCCAGGCCAGAGGCAAGGAAAGTGGGTGCACAGCCGAGGCCCCACCCCCGCCCCAGGCCTGTGGTGATGTGGCAGGGCTGCCCACAGAGGCCAAAGCATCTACCACCAACCAGCCAGAGCTGAGAGCCAGTTGGGGAGCCCCAGACCCTTCCCACTCCCTCTTAGGGCTCCTTCCGAAACATCCAGGAGGGAGAAGTTGTCAGGGAAACAAAAGGATGAGGTTTCTGGGCTCCCGAGAATAATGGTTTGGGGTTATTTATGGATTTGGACTACTCAGACTTCCCCTTTATTTTTTTTATTTTTCTCCCAGGCTGGAGTGAAGTGGCGTGATCACCACTCACTGCAGCCTCGACCTCCTGGCTAAAGTGACTCCCACCTCAGCCTCCCAAGTAGCTAGTATTACAGGCATGAGCCACCGCACCTGGCCAAACTTCCCCTTTTATCCCCCAAATAGAGAAAACTGAGAGTTTGAGGTAAATCATGCATCTGATCACCCTAACAGGTCACGATGCAGAGGACAAGGGTGGGAAGCCTATTATTACTGGTGGCATTACAGTGTCACCCTGGCACCAGTAATAATTACAATATTATAATACCATAGCCGCACAGTATCATAATACCACTGATGAGTTCTACTATGGATGCCACGTCATGTTCTATAAACCATATGTGTTATAGAATAGCAGGCATCAGCTAATATGGGACATCACACACTAACATGACATGTAATCCTATGACAGCTGGCACTGCCCTAGGTAAAGGCAAGGCAAGGGGAGCAGGGAGGGGGAGGGATGACTCTATGCAAATCTGGCTCATGGCAAGCTCTCCTTTGCCATTCCCTGGACGACAGTGGGAAAGCTGGGTCAGCTCCAGTATTTGAGACAAAGGAGCGCTGTCTGATTATGGTCAAGTGGGCGTGAGGGGTCACACAGCGGGGCAGTCCCCCCACTTACATGTTGCTCTCTCTACATATATCTATCTCCATCTAGCACTGGACTCTTCTCCTCCTCGTTCTCTGAGGACAGGGAACAAAGAGAGGAGATGGGTTACAGACAGACCCACATCTTCTCCACCCGGCCGCCAGGTGGCCCTGTACATTGGTGGGCCCTGCTCTCCAAGGCCTTTGCATTTACACATGGAAGCCCTGAGTTTTCTGGCTGGGGCTTGGCCTCTTCACCCTCTCTCCCTGCCCTCTGAGGGTGGAGGCTTAGTTGTATTCCACCCACCCCAAGAAGAGGTACGCTCTAGGAATGAGAACCCAGGAAGCTGGGCCTGGCTGGGCAACTGGCTTCCAAAGGCACCTGGGAGGTAGGGAGACCCCCCCCCCCAGGGTGGGAGTATCCTGAAACAGGGACTTTGATTGGCTACAGGCGTGAGGCAGAGGGGTCCTTTTCCACAGGGCCCCTCACCTGCGTCAGCCCCCAGGTGTTGGCAGCCGGTCCGATGGCCTGAGGGTCAGGGTCACAGCTATCACCCCTCTGCAGAGAGGGGCACATATTTGGGGGCAGCTGCCTGGTGGGGCTCCCCTCTGGTGGTCACTTAGTGGCTCTGCACTGGACACAGTGCTTACCTGCATGACCACCCCAGCTGCACCCCTGCTGCAACACTGCCCTGGCCCTACCACCCCACCAGTAGGGTAGACCGCCCTGCCAAGCTGGGAGCCCAGCTCCTCACTGACCTGACTCTCAGCCTGGGGTGTCCTGGGTTCCCTGTCCAGGCCTCCTGCCTCAGGCCCAGGGCCCTCCAGGAAGTTGGATGGAACCAGGCCCCTTTGTCCATTTAATTCCCCCTGGAGAGGAGAGGCTGGTGAGGCTGAGATCAGGAAACAGGCTCTAGCTCTGCCCCTCGACCCTGATGCCCCTGGGGAATAGCTGGGGCCAAAACCACTGTCCAGGGAGGTGACCCGTTCCATTCCACCAGACTTCCTGAGGGTTCCTTGCCCATCCCCCTGCCCGGCTCTGGGAGAGCCCTCCCTGGGAAGTCTGGGGGGCTGGGGTGTGGTACACCCTCCCCAACAATAAAATCTCACATAGTAGAAACCGTCATCGTCCATGCCCCCAAACACAGTAATGACATCCCCTGCCCGGAAGGGCAGCTCTGCCTGTGGAAAACAAGAGGAGGGCATCAGGCCCAGGAAGGCTCTGCCACCGCCCCCTTTGCTGGGCTCTGTCTGAGGGTCCTCACCTCGACGTCCATATTGGGGGAACTCTCCTGGGGGTTGTAGTCAAATGCAGCCACCATGGAGTGGGGAGCTTTCAGCTCAGCGGAGGCAACCAGCTTAGGGGGGCCTGCAGGGGGAGGAGGAGAAGACTCTGGACTCTCTGGAGAGCCCTATACTCCATCCTGTCTTCTGCCCTGGACCCCTGCCGAACCCCTGTCACCACCTCCCCACTAGTTGTAGCCCCTGGGGCGAGACCAGAGGGGCCACCCACCCTATCTCCTTCCCCAGCCTCCCGGGCCCAGGGATGTTCCTTCACCTGGACAGGGCTGGGCAGAGCCTTCCGACTCAGCTGTGGAGAGAATGTGCCTGTGAGCCCCACCCCGCCCTGCCCGCCCAGGCTGCAGGTGCTGCAGCGCAGGCCAGACACACACACAAGGAGGCAGGCAGGGAAGGCTGCTGAGGGCGCATCTCCCCAGCCCTTTGGTGTGGCGGTGAACTAACACCCAGAAAGGCTAAATGGCATGTCCAGGGTTCGTGGATTTTACAGTCAGGTGCCTGTGGGGACAGAGAGCTCCACAAACCATCCCTCATCCCCACCGGATAAAAGCCCCCCACAGGGGGAGGCAGGGGATGTGGGTGGTCTGCCCTGATTCCCTTTACCTGCTCAAAACTCCAGAGGTGCCTCCCCAGCCAGCCAAGCAGCGCCACCCCACCCGCACACACCCTCCCAGCACCTGAGAGAGAATGGGGTCTCACCCAACCCCCCCAGCACCTGAGAGAGAATGGGGTCTCACCCACCTCCCGCACACACACCCTCCCAGCACCTGAGAGAGAATGGGGTCTCACCCACCTCCCGCACACACCCTCCCAGCACCTGAGAGAGAATGGGGTCTCACCCACCTCCCGCACACACACCCTCCCAGCACCTGAGAGAGAATGGGGTCTCACCCACCTTTCTTGGAGCGGCGGGGCTTGGGAGGAGGCCCAGTTGTGCGGGCTGTGGAGCACACAAAGGGACCATTCCCTGATCCAGGAAAGCAGAGAGAAAGCGAGGCAGGGGAGGTGGGAGAGACAGGACTGGGACTCTGGAGTTTCCTCTCAGGGCCGTGCTGGCTTACTGAGCTTGTTTCATGAGGGCATTCATCTCCCATCCCTGACAAGAGCCCCACCCAACCTCCAGGACCCCAAATTCCTGGCTGCATGACTGTACTCCCCTCCGCAACAGACGCCCACTCCATGTGGCCAGCCCATGTGCAGTCTGACCACCACGCCACAGGGTTCTCAAGGCTCCAAGGCTCTGCTAGAGTCTGGGTAAGTGGGGGCACCCCAGACACAACAATTGCTCAGGGTCAGGTGGAGTTGGAAGAGGGCTGGTAGGAGGGGGGTGAGGGACAGCAGCAGGTCATACCTGAGCCCTCGAGGAGAATATCTGGGGACAAATAACCCCGCTGGAGCAGCTGCTGTCTCCCGGCAGGGCTGTCCACAGCCACTTCAGCCACCATGTTGCAGGGAATGTAGCCTGTCCGGCCGCCACCTTCGCCCCGGTAGAAGCCGTCGGCATCCTTGTCCCCAAACACCTGGAGGCACAGAACAGTGGTCTGAGCCAGTTCTGCTCTCTCCCTGTGCCCCAGGCCCCGAACCCCAGCAACACCCCACTTGGAAATGCAGAAGAATGTTCTCCCTTTCGTAGGCCATGGAATGGGAAAAGGGGAAAAACAGAAAAGAACAGGATCAGAGGAACAGGAGAAAACAGCCCTTTCTGTATTACCCCATTCACTGTCTACACGGTCATGCCCTTTGCCCACCCCAGAGTGGATCTCCTTAATCTCAGAGCAATAGCAAAATGCCTTCAATCAATACTTGGAGGAATAATAAAAATAGCAATGTCAGCAGCAGATAGTTAGACTGTGCTGCCTATGTGTCAGGCAGTTTAAGCACTTTATGTACATTGGATCATTTAATCCACAAACCACCCTGTGAGGTAGACGCTAATATTATCCCCATTTTACCAATAAGAAAACTGAGGCCCAGAGGGCCTAGGTAATCTACTCAAGGTTACACAGCTAGAAGCGGCAGAGTCAGGGTCCAAACCCACGTCATCTGCTCTAGAAGCTGTGTTCTCCGCCATGATTCTGTGCTACCTCCAGTGGAGGAAAGGAGGGAGGAGGGAAGACCTAGCTGGTGTTTGGAGCTCTGAGCCCTGATGGCAAATCAGTCACCTTCAGGATCTGACCCTCTCGGAAGGGAAGCTCTTCTTCTCCAGCATCAGGATTGGGCGACATTGACACGGGGTCGTAGTCAAACAGAGCCACAAAGATCCTGACGGGTAGGTGCTGGTAAGCCAATGCTTCTGACGGGCTCCTCACAGGGACTGTGGAGACAGTGGAGAGGGCGGTGATGCAGCGAGCTCTGGCCGAGGGGTTCTAGCTCAACCCCCATCAGATGCTCACCTAGCTCTGCAGTGCTTGGCCTGGGGACTCGGGCACCTCTCTTCTGGGGGCCTCTCCGCCCAGAGCTGTCCTGCCCTCTGGCTTCTCTGGTCTCTGTTGCCTGCAAAAAGAGGGCAACAGATGGCAGAAGTAACACACCATCCCTCTGGTGGGCCCGTGCTCCCCAGCTCTGCCCCATCAGCGTAAGCAGCACAGCAGCGCAGGAGCACAGCAGTCCTCTCCTGGAGTCTCGCCTGGCCTGCTGGAGACCTCAGACACTCCCACAGTGGGAGGGCGGGCAGGAGGGGAGGCCCCAGCCCCAGCCCCCAAGTAGATGAGTGGAGTAGAGGGGACTAGAGTTGGCTGAGGAGCCTGTGAGAGGAGGGCCTCCCATCAGCATCAGGGCAGGTGACCCTGGACATGGCATCACAGTCAGCGTCCTGAAGCCATAACTAGCTATGCAGAGGAAAGGGCGACCCTGCCCAAAGGCCGCAACAGGTGACTAGTGATAGAATATTGTGCATCCCAGTTCTGATCAGCAGAAGCAGCAAAGCAGTGGAATGTGGGTGGGAGGAGGCAGGTGAGGGAGCCCGGAGGCCCGGCCCCACCTCTGCTGATGGAGGCGGCAGCGTGGAATGGGAGCTGCTGGTGGGCAGCAAGCAGGGCCACCAGGCAGCAGCAGGCAGGGGCTGCCCAGGGCGGGGAGTGAGCACGGACCCGGGAGAGTGGCTCCTTGGCTCTGCCCGTCGCACTGCGGCCTCTCCGCTCTGGCTCCCCTTTCTCCCAGGCTGGGAGGGGTGGGTAGGGTTTGGGGCCTGAATTGGCCTTCGGAGGCCCCCTGGGCCTTCCTATGGTTGCTGTGCCCCAGACCTCCCCATCTCCAGGGTAGCAGGAGCTGGTGATGCTGATGCCCCCACTGCCCGCCTCCTGCTCGTCCTCCGAGTCATATTCAATGCTGATTTCCAAGCACTTGGGGGAAAGGCAGCTGGCCAGGCCAGGCTCCAGCGCCCGGCCACGGGAGCACCTCCGGGAAGGGCCCAGCCGCCCTCTCCCGCTAGCCTCTAGTCCAGTCCTGGGGCCCTCAATTACAGGGAGGCCACCCCTCTCCCGCGTGGGGCCGGGTCGTCCAGAGGCCTGGGGCCCATTGTTGCTGAGAAGTCGGCTGCAGTGTTCACGGGGATCTGGAGGCCGCCTGCGGCTTGGGGGCTTCTCAGGGGAGCCCCCTCCTCTCCTCCGACTGCTTCCACCAACTAATCCAGGCATGTCCTCCAGGCAGTCTCCAGCCCTGGAGGGCTCAGGAGACAAGGGACACTGGCCAGGTCTTCGAGGCTGACCACTGTCACAGCCCAGCCCCAGCAATGCAGGTTCAGGCGGGCCAGGCTCTTGGGAAGAACAGCCTGCCCCTGGCTTCTCCTCCTCCTCGTCCTCCTCTTCCTCCTCCTCCTCCTCGGGGATGCTAAAGAGCTTCTTGCTGCAGAACTGCTGGAGGGGCAGCTCCAGGATCTGCTCCAAGATCTCCTCATCGCTGTCAGTCTCACAAAAGGGGTCGGGCTGGGACTGGTGGAGGTGGGGAGGTGGGAGTAGAACACAGCAGGGAAGAGAGATGTGTGGGGAAGAGGAGAGAGAGCTGTGATCTTTGCCCTCAAACGAAGGCAGGGGTTACGGACAACCCCACAGCCCTCCCACAGCTTCCTCCGAGAGGAAGGAACCAGAGGGACAGTGGCTGGCCCAAAGTCGCACACATATCCAGTGAGAGCCAAAGGAAGAATTAGGGAACACACTCTAGGAACTGTCACCAGCCCTGTGGAACAGGAGCATTGAGAAGCAGACCTCCCCATCCCCTCCCCAAAAGCTACCAGCACAAGAATCTTAGGTGGCACCAGCCTCCCTTGGCCAGGATGCTGTCTCTGGTGAGCTGGAGGGAGAGAAGGTGCAGAAATGAGTTCCTCCTCTTCCCCTTTCTTTCCAGGAGGGCAGAGGCCAATCCTGGGTCACTTACTATCTTCTGCTTAGGACAGGGCCCAGGCCACAGACCTAGAATGTTACTGGCACTCAGTGGCAGTCAGAGCAGCTGCTGATACACGGTTGGGAGGCCCCAGAGACTGAGGCCTGGGGCCCAGCAGCCCATCCGTACCCTGTTACCTTGGCCCCGTTCTCCCTGATGCTGTTGCCAGCAACCTGCTTCTGGAAGGAGCAAGTCCTGGAACCCAGCTCCTCTTCCTCCTCCTCCTCCTCCTCTTCCTCCTGGATGTCTGACAGGTCTGAGTTGCGGCTGTGGTCCACGAGGGAGTTCACCAGATGACCCCCAAGCTCTGCCGCGTCCTCCTTCTGCAAGAGGTGAGGCAAAGCAGGAGAGATAAGGACAGTGAGGGGCACAGGGGGATCCAGGCAGGGTCAGCCCCAGCCACAATAACAAGGGTCCTTTGGCAGAGGGAGAAAGAGCCATGCCCTAAATCGGGGAGGTACACCATGGGTCAGGGGCAGGGTTGGAGAAGGGAGATGGGAGCCACATGGGACAGAGAAGTCCTAGAAGAAAGACAGACACACAGCACAGCCAAAGGTGTGAGAGCAGGACCAGAGCAGAGGACAGGCAGAGAAGGCAACTGGATTTGGGCTGGCAGAAGATAGGGAGGCAGGCCCCAATTCTCTGAAGTGACAGTGTGTCCCCAAACCCTACCTCAGCCCTGGGCCTCAGCCCAGACCCTGGGTCTCCTCCTTGGCACGCCTCGGTATTTGGCGCCTGCTGGGCCAGTGCTCCCTGGGCGGAGCTGGGGGCCGGGCAGGCCTCTCCTGCAGTCCACTTGGCCTCCTGCTTGGCCAGTGAGGGAGCTGCGGGGCCAGGGTCCTTCTCACCCAGGGTGGATGTGCTGGCTGTCCTCTCCTCTGAGGTGCCCAGCACTGCTGTCCCAGCCTCCTCCTGGAACAGAGAGCACTGAGGAAGGACCCAAGCCCAGGTCCCTCTCCCAGCATGCACCTGCTCCCCTCTCCCCGAACAGGGTACCTGGGAGCAAGGTGCTGGAGGATCCTCGTGGGACCCTTTTGGCATCTCTCTGGAAGGGCTTGCAGGGGGTGCTCCTGGGGGCTCTTGAGTTCCAAGGGGAGCAGGGTGCTGGAGAGGAGAGCTGGGGTCTCCAGGCCCTGGGGAGGCTGAAGCAAGGGGTGCTCTGGCCTCTGGGCTTGGTCGCAGTGAGGGGCAGGAGACTCGGGCCGGCAGGCTGGCTGGAGCCAGGGCGGGAGTGATAGGAGCCGGGATGGAGTCCGCCGACTCCCCGTGGGGCGACATGGTACGCACGACCACCTCACGACACACCTGCAGCAGCTGCAGCTGGGACAACTCCACCAGCACACTGCCTGCCGTGGGCGAGGCCACCTCCATGATCTGTAGGGTGGAGGGGGCACAGGATGGGAAGCAGAGGCTGAGACAGCCAAGTGTGAGGATGTACTGACAGCAGTGGCAGCTAGCATTATGCCAGGTACTGTGCTAAGCCCTCTGCATGGCCTATCTCATTTCATCCTCCTGGCCACATGGCTTCAGTGGTGGAACAGTTCTAAAATCCGTCACGTGCTACCAAAGCCCATGCTCTTAACCCATCTGCCTCATGGTGCCCAAATGCCAGGGGCTGGGCATCTCTGTGCCAGGTCAGAGAGCCTTAGTCTCTGAGCATAGCAAGAAGGGATCCACCTCCACTCCCAGGGTACAGTGGGCAGGGCCATACCTTCTGCCCATCAGCATAGATGGCATAGCCTGTGACCCGGACACCGTTGGATGTGCCAGCAGCATCGATGGTGACTGGGAGCCAACTGATGATCAAGATTCCAGGGGAGGGCCCAGGCTCGATCTGCACATCCAGAGGGGCATCAGGCGGGCCTGGGGGCAGAGAGGCACAAGACCCAGTGATGCAGGATGCTCCCTATCAGAGATACCTGCCCAATTTGCCATTTCTCTGATAATGCAAATAAGATCAGGGTCCCCTTCTTCCATCACCCATGGCCTGGCCTCCTGGGTGTTCTGGACAACAGAGCCCAAGCCCACATACCTGCTGGGAGTGTGGTGAACTGCAGGGTGGCAGCCCGCTGCTCCAGCCTCTCCCAGCCTGGTTCCCAGGGCCCTTGGGGTGGGAGCTGAGCCTCCACTTGGGCCTGATAGGGTGTGCCAGGCCGTAAGTGGCAGAAGGTGGCCCAGTAGGTACTGGGGCTGGCAGGTGGGCACTCTTCCCCATTGAGGTAGATGGCATGGGCCAAGTTGCTATTGCCGGGCACCCAGGTGATCTCAGCAGATGTGGCTGTCAACCGATGGACCCGCAGCTGGCTGGGCACCACTCCAGCCCGGGCACCCACCGCCAAGCAACAGCGCAGTGGGTCGGAGCTGCCCCGGCTGGTCAGGGCCTGGACAGAAATGTGAAGAGGCCCGGCCCGCAGGTCCAGGTTCTCCAGCACAGCCTTGGGTGGCGCCCCAGGCCCCAGGGCCTGCCGCAGCTCCCCATTCACACAGATATGGAAACCGTGTAGCTCCACTCGCTCAGGAGGGGGTTCCCAGGCCAGCACCACACTGTGGGCCAGCTGCTTGAGGACCACCAGACAGCGGGGGTAAGGCACAGCGGGAGGCTCGCCCAGGCCCTCCGGTGATGGGCTCACACTGAGGTCGTCCCCTGCATCCTCCTCCTCAGGTCTGGGCTGGCTCCGTCCCCCGCTGCTTTGCCCGCTACTGCTGCCACCCCCACCCACACTCAGGAAACTGAGTTCAGGGCCTGAGCTGTGGGACAAATCGGCCAGCTCCGGAGGGAGGGAGGTCAGGAGGTCGTCATCCGACACACGCTCTACAAAATTGGAAGGGACCAGGCCCCTTCGGCCATCCATGAGCTCTCCTGGCAGGAGGAGGACAGGAAAGGGCAGGGCAGGGGAAGACAGAGAGGAGATAAAGAAAAAATGGTATAGTAAATGTATTTTAGCAACTGCTAGTGGGTGATCTTCAGCATTTGATTCAAATCAACATTTAACTGTCAATTCTTCTAAAAGACAAGAGCTGTAAAGATCTGGATTAGAGATAGGTCTGATAATAGTATTTTGGTTCTACAGGACAGTGCTTCTTCAATTTTAACTTGGATACGAATCACCTGGATATTTGTTAAAACGCAGATTCTAACTCTCTGGATGGGGCTGAGATCCTGTGATTCTAATAAGCTACCAGGTGACACTCGGACTGCGAGGACGGAGGAGAATATCATGTTCTAAATAAGCACATTGAGTATTTCAAAGTACAATATCATAATGCTTTTAAAATCATTTTTAACTTACATACAGATAAAGCAAATATGCCCACGTTTTAACAATTGTTGAATCTAGGTGCTGGGTATGTAAGTATTCAAATGTATTCTGTACATTCGAACACTTTTGTGTTAAAAATTGCAGTAATAATTTCATAATTTCCTATTAAAGTTTTAAAAAATAAGCAGGTCAAGATGAGAAAACTAGCCAGGCATGGTGACTTATGAAGTAATCCCAGCACTTCAAGAGGCAGAGGCAGGCAGATTGCTTGAGCCCAGGAGTTTGTGACGAGTCTGGGCAACATGGCAAAACCCCATCTCTACAAAAAATGCAAAAATTAGCTGGGAGTGGTGGCACGCCTATAGTTGCAGCTACTCAGGAGCCTGAGGTGGAGGGATTGCTTGAGCCCGGGAGGCAGAAGCTACAAGCTGTAATAGCGCCACCGCACTCCAGCCTGGGCGACAAAGCAAGATGCTGTATCCAAAAAAAAAAAAATTCTGCTGATTGGGTTTTACCTGGGCCTGAGGAACAGGGGCCAGGGTGCCCCTCAACTTCCCTTTGTGAACAGCAGACATCCACAGAGGGAGAGAGAGACAACCAACTCAGCAGAGTAAGGGAAGGAATCTTTAGACACAAATGAAGTAAGTGCTAGTGAAAAGAGTCACTTGTAAGTTCTAGAAGGATCAGGACCCCCAGCAGGCCTGCGTCTAGGAGCATGACTGACAGCAATCAATCCAGGCAGCCACCAATGGTTATGTTTTGTTACCAAATGGTTATGTTTTGTTACCTGCGTCGGTTCTCCTGAAGACTTGACAAGAGAGTGTTTTAAAACATTTGCTGTTGTTGTTTGATTGAGGGATGTCAAGGAAGCTGGGCACCTAACATGTCATGTCACGGCCAATTTAAAGAAGAAAAAAGTTCTCAGGAAACAGACAGCTGGCAGCTGGTGTGCTTTATTGGGAGGAAGGGGGAGCACGAGCCAAGGCTTAGGGGAGAGGGGTGAGTGTAGGCAGGTCTGAGCTGCAGTGGGGCCTGGAGTTTCCCCCAACAGTCATCTGTGCCCCCCACCTCCACCCTCTCTCTCTGCCTGTGCTAGGAAAAAAAAACACAGTAAGGAACTTTAAGAAACAAGAGGGACTGTCAATAAATTCGCCGATAGAATAAGCACTGTAGAGGGTTGAATGGTGGCCGCCCAAAGACATGTCCATGTTCTAATCCCTGGAACTTGTGAACATGACCTTATTTGGAAAAAGAGTCTTTGCCGACGTAATTAAGTTAAGGATCTTGAGATGAGATCATCCTAGATTATCCAGGTGGGTCCTAAATCTAATGACAAGTGTTTTTATAAGAGACACGCAGAGGAGAAACACTAAGAGGAGGCGGCGATGGTGACCACAGACACAGAGACTGGAGTGAGGCGGCCATAAGCCAAGGAACAACTGGAGCCACCGGAAGCTGAAAGGGACAAGGAACGGAACCTCCCATAGAGCCCCCACGGGGGATGCAGTTCTGTGAATACCTTGACTTCAGACTTCTGGCCTCCAGAAGAGGCCAGTGAGAGAATAAATGTCTATTGTTTCAAGTCACTCCATGTAATTGTTCCTGCAGCCCTAGGAAACAATCATAAGCTCCAGCACTGTGGAGTGGGAGACAAAGGCAGGAATCTTCACAGTAAGAGGATCTCCAGCCTGCAGGGCTGAAGGTGGAGCCTGGGGCAGAGTCAGGCACATGCTCCAGAAGCCCACACAGCTGAGAATAGCCTAGGTGGCCCAGACGTAGAGGAAGCAGCCCTTTAGCTACGGTTGGACAGGGAATATGGCATCTTGCCCCCAGTGGTCTACGTGCCTCTACATCTATCCCAATTTATCCCAGATCGCAGAGTTCAAATTCTAGTCATTTGTGGTTAGTTAATAGTTATGCCTTTGCTGCCTGCCTCCAAAAAAAGGGTGTTTGGGTTTTGGTTTTTGGTTTGGGTGGGTTTTTTTTTCTTTCTTCATTTATAAAGTATTGTTTTCCTGAAACCTTTTTATTAATTCTGATCTTCATAATCTACCCCTGCAGGAAGCTTAACTGTTTAGGCCACAAAGCCAGGTACCATGGGTCCCAGCAGCTCCTCAAATCACAGGCAGAGGACCCAGGGAGAAGAATCTGAGCAGGCTCCCAAACTTCCAGGGTTACAGATTCAGAGCTAAGCCCATTCCTGAATCTCTATACACAGTTGTGGCTCTCGCCCTGCCCTGTCCATGCCCCATCCAATTCTCTACACAGTGCCAACCTCTCTGCTGCTGATGGACTCAGCCTGGTGGTGCCCAGGCCAGAGCCACCCTGAGAGAGTCTCCCAAGGCCATGTCTTCCGCAGGCCCATGGTACCCAGTCTCAGTGAGGCATCTGCCTTTAGTTGCCTGGTCAGCCCTCTGACTACCTACAGGAGCTGCAGAACCTCCCTGAAGCGGACACCCTGCCTGGGCCTTGACAGCTGCTAACCACTTGCGAATACCTTCCCCTGGGATCTTTACCCTGATTCCTCCTTCACGTACCTGACTGGAGTCCAGCATCAAATCTATGCTGCATACCTGACCTCAGGTGTCACTAGTGTGAAACACTGCCATGCCCTGACCATCCGCACAAAAATGAATCTAGCCAAAATCTCCTGTGACACTCTGTCCACCATCTGGACTATGCTGTCCTGTCCTGCCTGGAGCCAGACCCCCTTCTTTCTCTTTCCCCAATGGCCACTAGATCTCTGTATGCCTTTTAGCTGAAACCAAAAAGTTAAGGTGGGCTGAGCACGCTGGGCAGAGGGGATGGATGGATGGATGGATGAATGTCTTTGGGAACATGGACTCAAAGGCAGGGGAATGGACAGAATGACCCCCTACTACCTTCCTACCTTCAAAAAAGCCATCCTCATCCATGTTGCCATAGACGTAGATGTACTCGCCAGCTGTCAGCGGAAGCTCTGCTTCTGGATTCTCATTGGGGCCCTCAAAGGGGTTGTAGCTGTTGGGGGAGGCACAGAGGAGGAGGAGGAAGAGAGTGACCTACACTCCACTTCCATGTCCCGTCTTCTCTCTCCCACTGCACTGAGCCTTTATGGATGGAGACTTGGTTGTGGTTGTCCACCACTAGCAAAGCACAGTCCTCACTGCACCCACCTTGGCCCAACTAGGTTATGAGAATAGGTCCATTGTGTCCTGTGCCGCCCCCACCACTTCCAGAGGTCTCTATCTCCTCTCGGCCCCCTCATACACCCCAAATGCTGGGGCTGGGCTCCAGGGCAGTGAGGGTGAGGTACCCACCTATAACGAGCTAGGAAGACCTGGATCCTGGCTCCTCCCCGGCTGCCCTCTGGCGTGGCTGGGAGCAGGGAGACACTGTCTGCCTCCAGCTCCTCTACCTCACTGGCTGTGTCCACCTGGGGGCAAACAGAAAGGGCTGGTTCCTCTTCAGGGCCTGGGGCCAAACACTAAGCAGGCAGGTTTCCAGGCTGAGCCAGAGGACCTATTGCTTTGAGGAGGGAAAGTGAGCACACACCTGTTGCACAAGACCAGTGGCAAGAACTCCCTGATGCTCTCTAAATCCGTACCTGAGACAGGTCCTGGCAGAGCCCAGCTACCCTGGGCAGGGGCAGTGGGGATAACCCAGATCCCTCCCTGAGCCTCTACTGCACCCGACAGGAAATAAAGCCACTTGCCTCATCTCAGAGGGGTGCAGGCCATGCTGGTGTGGGGCGTGGGTGTCAACAGAAATTTGGTTTGGTTCCTTAAAGTAAAAACTCAGCAAAGTTGCCAGGTGCAGTGGCTCATGCCTATAATCCCAGCACTTTGAGAGGCTGAGGAGGGCAGATTGCTTGAGCCAGAAGTTTGAAACCAGTCTGAGAAGCATAACAAAACCCCATCCCTACTAAAAATACAAAAATTAGCTGGGTGTGGTGGTGCACGCCTGTGGTCCCAGCTACTTGGGAGGCAGAGGTGGGAGGATCGCTTGGACCCATGAGGCGCAGGTTGCAGTGAGCCAAGATTGTGCCACTGCACTGCAGCCTGGGCGATAGAGCGAGACCCTGTCTTTAAAAAAAAAAAAGAAAGAAAGAAAGAAAAAAGAAACACCTCAGCAAAGCACCCCAACTGTAAATCGCTGGAAGCAAGGAGGCAGAAGGAGCTTGAGAGGTCCCTGCTTCTAGCCAAGTGACAGTGTGTCTGCCGTTCAGCTCTGGAACTCAGAACTTCCTGTCTACTTGCCTGGCCCACAGCCCAGGGCACCCCAACCTCAGGGCACCCCAATTCACTGACCCTCATTGAGGTTGCTGGGGTAGCCTGGGTAACAGGCTGCCTTCTCTTCTCTGCCAGTGCCTGGGAGAAGGGGACCAAGTGGGCAACCTCTCCATGACCACATCCAAAGCTGACACCACCCTTCTATCCCACGAGGGGGCAGTAGAGGCCCGGGGCTTCATTCTACCACTTTCTGAATGTTTGGCTCACAGAGTTGCTCCTGACCTGCCCCCTCCACCTTCTGGGGTTTGTGGGTAGAAAGAAGGATGAGTTGACAACCAGAGCTATGAGTGATGCCCAGGAACTTAGTAATAATAACAGCTGCCCCCCCCCCCCCCCCCCCCGTTGAGCACACATCCTCTGTGCCCCGCACTGAGACAGGCATGTTCCTTTTTCATTTAACTCTCACAACAAGCTTAGAAGGCAGGTTTTATTAGCTCCAGGATTCAGATAAGGAAACCGAAGCTCAGAAAGGCTCAGTGACTTGCCTAAGTCAAAGCTGGGATTTGAATCCTGGAACATGTGCTTTCTCACACAACCACCTGCTTTCACTACAGATGCTCTTACGAACAGTCTCTTTATGCAGATCCTGGTGCCCAAGTGTCTCCTCCATCCAGCCCAGCACTCCAGAGCCTCCCTGGGCCTCCCAGGAGTGGGCTGGGGTGGCCCCAGGTGCGGCTTGCAGGCAGGCGGCGGAGGGCAGGAACGGCTCCACCCGAGCCCCTCGCCCACAGGAGGAATCCGCAGGCCTCTCACCTCCCAACTTGGGACCCCAAAAATCGCCACCCAACTCCTGGGGACCCCAGAAGAAGTCAGGGCCACCTGCCCTGCACCCTGCCCAAAACCAAAGCCAGAACTTCAGGCCCCACCCTAGCACTTACCTCAGGTGTAGGGCATGACTTGGGGCTGTTGTGGATGGACTCGGAGTGGGAGGAGTTGGAGAGAGATTCTGCCTTCTTGGCTGTCCTTCGAGGGACCCCAGTGAGGGTGGCAGGGGCAGGCTCGGAAGACTTTGGGGTGCAGCGCCCAGGGGAGCCCGGCGGGAGGTCAAGGTCTAAAGAGAAGATGGCACGTGGGCTTGGGGTCTGTGGCCTGAGGAGGGACCAGGAGATAGGGTGGTGCTTCTTGGATATGGGGGCCAGGCCCTCCATAGCCGGGCTTCCTTACCAAAAGGGAAATGTTTAGAGAGAAACTTACTAAATAGAGGTATAGCTGATTTACAAATACTATTTCACATGATCGTCAAAACAGCTTGATAAGATGCATTTAATTATTCCTGTCTTACAGCTTACAAAACTATGGCCCAGAGAGGTTAAGCAGCATTCTCAATTCACAGTGACTGTCAAGTAAGCGGAGCTGGGACCACCAGATCTGACTGACCCCCAAGCCTCCACTCTTCACAAGACCACACTGCCTGCTACTGACTCCTAGTGCCCAGCCCTCAGCCCTGATCATTCAGGTCCTTTTGGAAGGAGAAGAGCAGTGGCCCACGATGCCTGGGCCAGACTCTGGGACAGTCACTCCCCCGGGCTTTATTTTCCCCCATCAGAACCTGGTTCTAGCCAGGCACAGCCCCAACCTGCTGTGGACTTGGGATGAGTTGCTGGCCTTCTCTGATCCTGAACTCTCTGCTCTATACAAAAGCCCAGGCCTGGGGATTCCAGGCCAGTGCCACTGGGGTCCACCTTACCTTTGGGGCCAGACCCCCGGCAAGGCCGGGGAGTGGAGCAGCAGCAGGGGGGTGGTGGGCGGTCTCCAAGGGTCCCGCAGTCCAGGGCAGATGTGAGCAGATCCAAGGGGCCCGGGTGCAGGCGGAAGGCCTGGAGTTCCTGTGCCAGGAGGCTGAACTGCTCGGTTTGGCTGCGGCACTGTTCCTCGAGCTCTCGAACCCGGGCCTGGGCCAAGACCCACCATGAGCCACCAGGCCCCTCAAAGCTGCCCAGTGCCAGCCTGTGCCATCTCTACACAGCCCTACACTGGGTTTCAGGTCACATCCATCCACCCAGCCCCAGACCTAGGCACCAGCCTTGCCTTGGCCACCACACGGCCCTTAACGCATCAGAGCTGAGGGTGAAGTCCTGGGCTGTGTCCTGGGACATCTTCACCCCAGCCCCCTCCAGAGCCAAGGCCGGGGCCTGCCACACAGTCACCAACCCTCAGGCCCTAGGCAATGGCACTTCTGCCTCTGGCTGCTTTCTAGGCCAACAGGGATCATTCCCACCCCATCATCACCACCATCACCACAGGAGTTTTCTCAGCTCCACTGCTCATCACCCTCCCATAGTCAGCAACCCAAACCCCTTCCCTGAGAGAGGTGGGCAGGAAATTCCACAGGAGAGCCAGGGATGTCTTCATGATGGGAATGGGCCAATGCCCGGGAAGTTTTCTCAGGTCTGAGGAGAGTCCCAATAGCAGGGGCTCTCTCCGGCCTCTATGGCGAGGCTCCTAAGTTAGACTGGCGATGACCTTCCTCATGATCAGGGTGTCTAGAGAGGGGAGGCCCAGTGTCTGACAGACATGGCGGCAGGCCTGGGACGAGGGGACAGCTGCACATGTCCTGTGGGAACCCCATCCCCTCTGGATTCTCAGGTCTGCTCCCAGTGATACCCCCTCTGCTGGATGAGAGAGTGGGACTGCCTGGGCCCTGAGGGAGGAGATGCAACCCAGCCAGTCTAGAGAGGTGTGGGGAAGCAGAGAACGAGGCGCTACCTGCATGGAATCCAAGGTAGACTGTTGCAGGAAAGGAAGCCGAGAACAGGTTAGAACCTTGAGCACTGTGGGTTGCTAACCCAGAGAGGGAGGGGGAGAAGGGGGCCTAAGTGGACATCACCCAGTCAGCTCCCTGGACTGACTGGCAGTTCCTAAACAGAAGGATATCTCAGGGTAAAGGCACCTGGGGGTGGCAGCAATGGGAGACTGCTGCCACCAGACTTAGAAGCCCCCTGCCCAGCCATGCCCACCCTGAGAAATAGGCCAGTGGTGAAGGGGACTCCCCCAGGCCCTGGAGCATTTAAGGGCCCCTCTTGCAACCCCTCTCCCCACCACCATAGTCCATTCCAGCTCTATCTGGAGCTCCCCTGCCTTCCTCCCAAGACGGTGGAACTGGGGGCCACTTCCAGGCGCCCTACCTCCAGCAGCTGCACGGCTCCTTCATGTTCCTTCTTGGCTTCTGCCTGGGCCTACAGGTGGGAGGAACCAAAATGCTGGAGGGAAGGAGAAGGAATGGGGTGGAGTAGAGAGGGATGCAAAAGAGGGAGGGTAGAAAGGACAGAGGCAGGGGAGGAAGAAGCCAGTAGAAAGAAAAGAGTAGGGAGAGAGGGAAGAGGGATAGGGAAGGGGGAGGCTGAAGAGTTTCTCCCTCCTGAACACCCACCCTGAACCATAACTTAGACCAGAAGGCAAAGGGGTCCAGGAGGAGCGTGGCTGAGTCTGCTCCCCTCTTTCCTGAGCAACCATCCTCCCGGTTTCCCTCCTACCTTTCTGGATGCTCCTTCTCAGCCTCTTTTGCCTGCTTCCTGCCCTCCATTTTGAATGTTAGGGTTCCCCTGGACCCAGTGCTGGCCCAGTTTATATTGTCTACTTTCTCCCTAGGGCTCCCATCTACTCATGCAACTGAACACGCTGATGGCTCCAAATATGTCCAAGACCAACTTACCCATAACCCCAGGCTCATGTATCCAGCTGCCTGTGGACAGTTCCCCTTGAATGTTTAACACGTAGCTCAGACATGGCCTGAATGGAACTTAGCACTTGGGATGCCCTACCTCTCTGATCAGCTGCCCCTTCATCCTTCACCTCGCAGAGCGGGAAGAGCCCCACCTCCACCAGAGTTTATACAGCAAATGGCTGACAGAGAAGGGGTTCAACTGGAATCCCACAGGGAGCCTTGTCAATTCTTTTTTTTTTTTTTTTTTTTTGAGATGGAGTCTTGCTCTGTCGCCCAGGCTGGAGTGCAGTGGCGCAATCTCAGCTCACTGCAAGCTCTGCCTCCTGGGTTCAAATGATTCTCCTGCCTCAGCCTCCTGAGTAGCTGGGATTACAGGCACATGCCACCATGTCAGGTTAATTTTTGTATTTTTGGTAGAGACGGGGATTCACCATATTGGCCAGGCTGGCCTCGAACTCCTGACCTCAAGTAATCCACCCGCCTTGGCCTCCCAAAGTGCTGGGATAACAGGCGTGAGCCACCATGCCCGGGTAGAAGCTTGTTAGTTCTATCTCTAAAACATAACTCAAACCTGGGCACTTGTCTCCCCCTTCGCTGCATGCATCCCTGTCCAGACAGCCACTATCTCCCTCCCAGGCTACTGCCCAGGCCCTGCTCCATGCCCACTCCCATAATCCACCCTCCACAATGCCACAATTGTCACCTCCTCAGGGAGGCCTTCCCTGATGACCTCTAAAGTGGCTCCTCACCCCATCCCAGTCACTCTGTCACATCACCCTGTTCTTCTCCACCACTGTGCTCATCAGTGTCTGAAATCAGCTCACACATGGATCTGCTAATTTGCTGACTGCTCAGGGACCTGGTCTTTGTGATCCTGTGACTCAGATCATACCACTCCCCAACTTAGGATCGTTCAGGAGCTTCTAACTACTCACAAAGCAAAATACCCAAACTCTTCACATGGCTGTTAAGGCCCGACAGGATCCGGTTCTTGCCTGCTCCCACCATGCTGCCCATCCCTTGCTGTATTCTAGCCACACTGGTCTCAGGCTTCTCCAGCTCTTCCCTGCCACAGAGCATGTACATATCTACGCCTCCTGCCTGGCAAGCTCAATTGTCATCTCCTCAGGGAGGCCTTCCCTGATGACCTCTGAAGTGGCTCCTCACCCCATCCCAGTCATTCTGTCACATTACCCTGTTCCTCTCCACCACTGTGCACATCAGTGTCTGAAATCAGCTCACTCATGGATCTGCTAATTTGCTGACTGCTCAGGGACCTGGTCTTTGTTTCCCACAGTCTCCCCAATGCCTAGCACAGTGCCAGGCACACAGTAAATGCTTGTGCGATGAGTGAGTAGCAAAACCGGTGTCCGGCAGCCTGCCATCTTCCCTCACTGCCGCCCCACCTGCTGCAACCTCCGGACCTCCTCCTGCTTCTCCCGCAGGCTGAGCCGAGCCTGTTCATGCTCCACCTCCAGCTGCTGTCGCCGCTGGGCCACCTCCCGCATGTGCTGAAACACAAGATCCGAGTCAAGGCCAGAGCCCCCACTTGGCCATTTCTAGAGAAGATCTAAGATGAGGAAGCCTCGAACACTGTCTGCTCCAGATTCCTCTATTACAAAGGAAACTGAGTCTGGAGACGGCAAGGGGCTGCAGCTCCAGGTCCAGCCCTCAGAGCTAGTGCCCCTCCCTAAGCATATTCTGCTGTCCCACTTGCTCCCTGTGCCAGGGCCCAGCACCCTACCCAACCTGCAGCATCCCCTCACCTTCAGCACTTGCTCCAGGCTCTCCAGCTTGCTTTGCAGGCCCTGGCTCTTGCGAAGGGCTGAGTCCCTCTCCTGTGTCACCCCCAGGAGCTGGCCCCTCAGCTCCGCATTCTCCCACTCCACCTAGTGAGGGGGCAGTGGCAGGGAGTTGGGTGGGTGAGCCTTGACCCACCCGAGCCCTCACAGCGGGAACAGTCCCCTACCCCTGCTCAGGGGTGGAGGAGAAAGCCCCTTGGCTGGGGACTGGGGCTCTGGTGGGAGCACAGGTCTCCACAGCACTTGGGTGGAAATGGTACCTGCTCCTTCTCTGTGACTCTCCCACTGAGCCGGGAGTTCTCCTCCACCAGGCGGGCATTCTCATTCTGCGCTTCTCTCAGCTGCAGTTCCTGAGCAGGCAGAGGAGCTCTCAGGAGGGGGCCCAGCACCCACATTTCCCCTCTCCCCGCACAGAGGACCCTGCCCTCCTCCCAGGCAAGGCCTTCCTCCCCTGCTGGAACCTGCACCAGCCAGGAAAGGAAAGCACCGAGGAGCAGGAGGGAAAATGTGTTCTTGAGGGCAGCAGGGGCGGGAGCAGAGCTGAGAGGGAGCCCACCACCTGGCTGGCCAGGGCAAAGGGAGGAGCTGGCCTCTGGGTTGCCCTCAAGAGCTCACCAGCTCCTCACATCGCCTCTGTTTTTTCCGGGCTTCCTGCTCCAGGCTCTCGCATTTCTTCCGCTTCTTGCTGAGCTCCGATTCCTGTTGGGTCAGAACCAAGGGCTCCTCATGTGGGAAGGTACATCTGCCCACAGCAGGCTGCCTCCAGCCCTTGACCTAGGACTTACCAGCTGCTGCACCCTCTGCTCTTTCTCTGGCTCCCCTAGAATCACGGGTAGGTTGTCTGCATCCTCCTGGGGTGTGGCCTGGAAATGCCCAGGGGCAAAGGGCTGGCACCGGAGAACAGGGCCCCAGGGCAGCCTGCCCCAGCCCAGCCTGCCCAGAGCAGGTTCCCACCCCATCATTCAGCCAGCAAGAGATCCCTGCCTAGGAAGAGCACAGAGGGGTACTGTCTGCCCATCCCCTCCCATTGTCTCCAGCTGATGTATAAGTACAAAGGCTGCACCCCTGTGTCCTGGAGCTGTAAGTGCTTTGAGATCCTGGGACCCACGTGTGCCCTGGGAGATGGGTCCTTTATCCAGGCCAAAGCTTTCCCTTTTTAGCTTCCAGCAGCAGCCCTGCTCTGCACTCAATAACTGTCCTGGGTGTCCTTCAGCGACTGGCAGAGAATTAGGAGGCTGCTTGGGTCCCCAGGGAAGTGGTGTTCCCCAAGACAGGAGTTCTGTATCATCCAAATCTGGGCTTGGCCTAGAGCAGCGCGAGCCCGGCCAGACCCTTCTCTTTGGCTTCCCCAAAGCCCACCCTGCCACACCTTCTGTTTATCCATACAAACTTTGGGGGAGGACAGGTCTTAATGGGAGGTGCATCTCCCTTCCAGGGCCAGCCAGAGGGACAAAATCTGAGCAAGAAGCCACCCCCCACCCGGAGGTCTTGGTCACTATCAGATCACTACCTGGTCTCTCCTCCCAGCTCTCTTCCCAGAAGGAGGAGGACCTATTTGCTGCCCACCTAGGATGATGGAGAGAAGCCAGACCCCTAAGTTCTGGGGGTCCGGAGCAGGTCCCTGGCCCTCGAATCAGGGGCTGCCTAAGTCCCCCGCTCAGTGAGGGTTGCCTGTACCTGGAGCCGAGGCGGACGCACCGCCGCCCCCGGGTAGCCGGGGCCAGGCCTGGCCAGCCAGGCGGACGCTGACGGGGGCGTCCCCGCTCTACGGCGGCGGCGGGAGGAGGCGGCGCGGGCTGGGCCCCGGGCGGCTGCCAGGGCAACCAGGGATTTGCGGCTGGGCCGTACCACTGGCAGCGCGGCAGGGGCGGCCGGCCGGGCCCCACTGGGCGCAGGCCTATGGAGGGCGGAACCCTGGAGCCCCCAGGGGAGGGCACGGCGCAGGTACGAGCGCGGGAGGCTTGGAGGTGGACCCTGACCAGGACGGGAAAGCTCCCCAGTCCCTGGGAGTGCGCAAACCACCACTGGGTCCTTGGGGTTCTGAGCACGGTGCAGGGGAGATCCCGGTGGTCGCTCCCCGCCGCCATCTGCACGCACCCACACACCTGCCCTTGCGCCGGCGCTCACCTCTCCCGGGGCCCCGGGAGCCGGCGCCTCTGCTCTGGCCGGGAGAGCAGGGCCCGGGGGCCGGGACGGCGGGCGCGGGGGCGTCTCCCGCTGGTTGCGCAGCGCGATCTGCCTCTGCAGCCGCAGCACCTCCCGCTGGGACTCGCGCAGCAACCGATCGAAGTCCCGCACGTGGAGCCACTGGGGACCCTCCTGAGGTTGGGGGACAGGGACAGGGAGGGGAGTCAGGCCTAACCCTTGCCCGCCCCATGCCATCCCCTGGAGAGCCCTTCGCCTTGCTGGAGGGACTCCAATGCGCGGGAGTGTGCACACCCTCACAAGCGTACATGCCTGGTTACATGTGCATGCGTGTGTGGCCACATGCTCCCGCGAGCCCCTGTGCGGACATTCTGAGTAACTTATTTCTTGGGTGCTCTCAATGTGCCCAGCACTGTGCTAAATGCCTTGTGAACATTTACAGGGGATGTGTGGATGCATACAGCCAGACCCACTGGCACACAGCCTCAAGCCTGGAGCACAGAAATGCCCAGGTCTGGGAGTCATGGCTCCACCCCCTTCTCCCCTCTCCCACCTGGGCCGTTGCCAGGGGAACCTACTCCCAGCAACCTCCACCCTCCCGTTTCATTTGCATCTTATTAACGTCTTGTCCGCATCCCACAACAGGCAGATAGCCCTGTGCAGGGCTGAGCTGGAAGAGGTGACCAGGGCCTCCTCGCACCTTGCCCACCAGGGTGAGCCTGGCCTGCAGCTCCCTGCACTCCCGCTGCAAGGCAGCAATCTGCTTGTCCTTGGCCAGCAGTGCACTGGCTGTCTCACTGAGGTCCCGGGCTCGCTGGCGGGCTAGGGCCTTCCGACACAACTCCAAGCTGGCCCCCGGCCGGGGCAAGGGGGCACTCACCTAGCCAGAGGAGGGGTAAGGCCAATGGTCACCTGAGGGCTGGGGCACTTCTCCCACTCTTCATCTCCTTCCTCCCAAAGGAGGAGTTAGCATGAAAACCTAGGGGAGCGGCCACCTGCTTCCACCTCGACTGGGGTCTCGGAAAGCCAGCAGCCTCACTCTACCCCATCCCAGCAGTCGGAAAGGATTAACTCTACATCTGAGTTTAGGATCAAAGGATGCTGCTAATTTGGGGCTGCCACTGTGACGGGTCTCATCCCTGCCCCCACTCCAGCTCTATACCCTGAGATGAGCTCAGCAGGAGCTGCCGCCAGCACCAGCACATGGTAATCCAGAACCCTGCTCCCTGCCTGCTCAGGAACCTCCCCACTACAGCTCCAGAAACCTTTGGCCTCCTTGCCTGGCCAGCCTCTGCCCTTCCTGCACCTTATCCCTTAGATTCTTGCTTTCCTGGGTGCTGAGTCTGACTCCCAAGCTACAGACAGCCCTCAAGCACAGCCCTGGCTCCCCTCTTCCTTGGTCGCCCAGCCTCCGCCCAGCAGCCTCCTGTCCTCACCACCCTCAGGTTCGTTTCCTGCAGCTTTCGGGCCCTCTCCTCCAGGCGCTTGGCAATGACCGCCAGCTCGGCGTTCTTCCTCTTCAGCCTCCGCACCTTCTCTTCCGTCTCAGGGAAGCTGCTCTTCCTCTGACAAGGGGTCAGGCAGAATTGGGGCATGTAGGGAGCACCCCACAGACCCAGTCCTAATGACCCAGGTCTTGGGTTAGAGCCCTAGGCTCACAGTGGGGTCCTTGGCAACTTTAGGCAGGGGTTCACCCTCTCTAGGTCTCAGCATTTTGTCACCTCCATGGAGCCCCCACTTGGAGAGATGTTCATGGGGTGAGGAGGACACTGAGGCAGAGGGCCTGGCTCCAACCAGAATGCAGCACCCCAGTCTCCAAGCCTCACCAGCATCTGGTTTTCCTCCTTAAGGATGGCACAGCGCTGCCGCAGCTCCCCCAGGGCCCTCAGCAGCTCCAGATTGGGCCTGTCCCCAAAGCCCATATTCAGCTTGGCCTGGCATGGGAAAGGACCAAGGACAGCACCTCAGAAACCCATGTGACCCAGCCAGAACCTTCCATGTGGAAGCATCCCCCATCCATGGTCCAAGGAGATGTGGAGATGAAACGGTTTTCCCCCACATCCCAGGTCTTCAGAGAGGAGCAGAGGAGGCCTAGGAGAAGGAACTGTCCAGTCCTTCCTGTCCACATAGGCGCCCCCAACCCTGGCACCCTCCTGCTCCTCCCTTTTTCGTCCCACTCCTGCCCATCTTCTCCTCCAGGGACGTGCCAGCTAGAGCTCCCACTCCCATCCCTCCAGACTCCCCTGCCCTCCCCCAAAGTCCTGTTCCTTCCCTCTTCTACAGGAGCCTGCTCACACCCACCCCAACCCTGGCTCAGCCCAGCACCGAGCCCCCTCCCTTCATTCTACTTCCTCTGCACTGATTCTCCGTGCACCTCCACACTCACCCTGTACCCCCCAGCCCCCAAGGACAGACAGACTCATGGAGGAAGAGACACAGACAGACAGACACACTGTCAGGGGGAGGCACAGAGAGGGACAGGGCAGCAGCAGGGCCAGATCTAGACAGACAGGCAAAGAGGGTCAGAAGGACAGGCAAATGACGAAAGAAATGGAGCCCCTGAGATTCCTGCTCGATGAAGAGAGGACAGATAGCCACAGAGACAGACCCACAGACGGGCCAAGAGAGGAGAGGTGGGCAGTAGGGATGCACACCTCGCCTCACCTCCTGGCCAGGCTAGAGGACACGGTGAGAGACCCCACCTTGCAGACCCCAGCCATCCACAGATCCCTTACCTTTGGGAAAGCCTCTACTTCCTCATCCTCTGGCCTCTGGCAGGTGGGTCCAGAGCTCGATGCTTGCTGGCCCAGGCTGGGCAGACAAGCCTCTGCTTCTTCAGGGTCAGTGCCCCCAATGGGCCCAGAGCTCCTGGCTCCTTTGGGCTCGGAACTCTCCTCAGACCTCAGTTCTGGAAGCTGCAGAGCTGCTGGAGGAGTATCAGCGACACTTGGGGCTGCATTGCCAGGTTCACCCCCTCGACCTGGAGTCCAGCTCTGCCAGGTGGGCAGTGCCCATGGCTCCATGGCTCCAGGGTCCCCAGGCCGTGGGAGGGTTGTCAGTTGCTCCATGGTACTGCCAAGGGTCCCCAGAACCTGGGCCAGGGGACATCACCCAGCCAGGTGGGGGGACTGGCAAGGGTCATGCCAGGCCAGCCCCGCTCCCCTCTGAGCTCTTGCTTCACCGACACTCCATCCAGGGTTGGCTGAGCTCTTCCCCACCTACAAAGGAGGCTGCAGAAGGCGCCAGGGCTGCCGGAGCTGGAGCCAGGGGTATGTGAGCTATGTTTGCTGGTGGCTCTGTGTGTGTGCGCGAGTGTGTGGAGGAGCGAGGGTGTCCCCGTGGGGGTGGGGAGGATGTGCAGAGGCCACCGACAGCTACGCCTGGGTGAGGGTGCGTGTGTGTGTCTCCAGGTCTGTCCGTGCAGGTCAATGTTGTCTCGTGTGTTGGGAAGATGGGTGCCCCCACTTCTGTGTGTTGAGGGGGGTGGTGCTGTGTGTCACTGTCTGCCCATTTCAGAGTTGCCAGTTGTTTCTGTGTGTGTGTGGGTGTCTGTATTGCAGGGCTGTGGCAGTATGTGATGCTGTCACTGGTTGTATCTGAGTGTGTCAGTGTCGTGCAGCTGTGTGCATCGTTGTCGTTGTGTGTCTGTCAGTGTCTGTGGGTCTGGCCTTCCGTCGCAACCCCTCAGCCCGGCCAGGGTCTTCAGGAGCTGCTGGGGGTGATCCCCAGTGGTCTGCTGTGGTCCTTTATCTCCGGCTCTGCTCTCCGCTGCTGCTTTCTCGCTTGCTGGGTGACTGGGCTGGTCCTAAGGAGGTCTGGGTCGATGGGCTGCTTGCCTCATAGTCTCAGCCCCTGCTGGCCTCAGCTCTGGGGACTGCAGGGGTCCCTTACAGTCCGGGAGCCTCGAGATGGTGGGCTCCGAGGAGGGCTGAGCCTCAGAACTGGGGGGGGTGAGCCGGGGAGAACCAGCCTTCCCCTCCTCCTCCTCCTCCCCTCCCACCCACCAATAGGAAGTCGGCTGCTGGTTTCCATGGTGATGGCGCTGGACTGGTGGGTTGAACCGGCTGACAGGGTCGGGGGACAGAAGGAAGAGCAGGTTTCTCACGGGATGTCAGCCCAGGGCTCCCACATGTGGCCTCCCACCCTCATCTTCACACATTTTCACACCTTCCGGAGTACAGAGGCGAGCGGGGTGCAGATGGTCCTCCCCACATCGGGTGAGACAGAACGGCGGAGGGTATGACAGAGATCCAGCCACAGAGAAGGGCAGAACTAGAAAAGATGGGACTTGAGATGAAACAAAGAGAGAGAGAGAAACCAAGAGAAAGAAACCAGGAAGACAAGCAAAGAGACAGGTAGAAATAGACGGAGAGAATTGCTTCCGCTTCCTCCTGGCAGATTGCACTTGGTGGGCAACCTGACTGTCCCAGGCCACCAGGGAAGCCCACATGGCCTGTTGGGTTGGCTTTGCCCTGAACTGCCTGGAAGTTCACCTTCTGTGTAGCCTTAGACCTTGTTGCTATGAAAAAATAATTTGGGGGACAAGGACGTGATAATCCCCCCAGCCAGGAGTCAGCCTATATACAGGGGCAGGGCTCTAGACAGAGTCCCCAGAGACAGGGGTGTTGGGAGAAGCCCCGAGAGGCAGCCCCTCTCCCCTCTGAACCCGGGACTCATTAGACAAGCCAGTTTCAGCCATGGTCGGGGGCCCTCGTGTGGCACCCCCACAGAATAGCAGCAGTGATACTGAACCCTAGAGCCCCTGACTGACTGTGGGCTCCACCCAGGCAAGAGCCAATGGAACTGGAGGTAGCGGGTGCATGGGGAGGAGTGGACATATTCACTTCCCTAAAGCACTGTGTAGGTCGACACGCACGCCACTGCATGATGTGTTGCTGATGTTTAGGTCAGAGTATATATGCATGCCGTTATGCACAGGCATGTGTATAGTATGCATATCGAGAATAGACATATCTCTATTTCTGCATATGTGAAGGGGCCATTGTGTGTATATGTGTGTGCTATTATGTGTCTATGGGTCACATAATAAAACAAGAAAAACACATTGGGTGTATTTGTATGTATGTTTCTGTGTCATTGCATCTATATCTGTTTGCCACTGCGTCTATGTTATGTGCATGGGAGGCAATCATTGCGTGAGTTTATAAATTGCAACACATCATGATATATATAGATATGGATGCTACTATATGGCACAATATAGTAATTGATTACACAATATATGATATGCTCATATAGTCATGTAAATATGCATAATGACTTGGTTTGATTTGTGTGTGTATATATATATATCACCATGTATCTATTTATGTATTCTGTATTTATCGTGGTCTGTGAACGTGTCTCTATGTATGTGTATGGAGCCACTGTGTTTATTATGTGAATGTCACTGTATGTGTGTGCTCTTCTATGTGTAAGACACGTCCTATGTTTCTATCATTGCATGTGTGTACTACTGAATATGTACGTGCCCTGGGTGTGTGTAATCCGTGTGTGTCATACCAGTCATGTCACATGTGTCTGCGTGTGTGTTAGTGGCACCCTGCATGGGGCCTCTATGTGTAAATGCATTTGCATCTCAGTGTGTGCTTTGTACATGAGTGTCTGCACCCTTGTCTAAGATGCTGTGTATGTGCCACAGTGGATTTTGCCCAATTTTTATAGGACTAGGACCCCCTAGACTTTCTTAGATTACAACTGGATGTAGGCAGCTTTCAGTTTGGGCGTGTAGAGAGTGAGTGGGGGACAGGATAGGGCCAGAGCTAGGGTAGAAGGTGAGAGGATGCCTTACATCCCTGCCCCTTTCTGCAGCTAGCCCAGGCCCTTCTCTCCTCCAGCTGTGGCCTGGCCAGGCCCAGAGCCCTCTTCTAATCTCATAGGCAGGGCCAAACCCGTATCTCTCAGAGGAGTGACAGAGGTTCTCCCTCTCAGCCCTTCCGTGTGCCTATACTGTCTGTGTGCCTGCCGCCCGCATTCATCTCCCCACCCCAGCAACAGAGTCTCAGACAAAAGAGAAGCACAGTCCAGTCTTTATTAGCATTGGGTCCCTGGCACCACCACCCATTCCCCTCCATGTACCCTCCCTTCCCACCCCTTCCTCGTCCTTGCGGCTGCGGCTGCATCAGGGTTCCACACGTCCAGCCCTCCCCGCCCCCAAAGACTGCAGGGCAGCAGAGGAGCGGCTGTGGCCTTTCCCCAGCTGTCCGGAACCAGGAAGGGTGGGAGAGCCATGGAGGTATTTCAGGCATCTGGGCAGAGTAGGGAGGGGCTGTGAGGTGCTCACCTGTCACAAGAGGTCCCCGAACGAGCGCCGGGGAAGATGGTGGCGGGCAGCGGGCGGCGGCGGTGGTGTGATCTCCGAAGCCCACAGTACACTCATCCATAAAGTAGGAAACACTACACCCTCCAGTGCTGTTAGTAGTGCTTTCTACTTTATGGGTGACTGCACTGTCTGTCTGTCCGTCGGCGTGTACTCTTCAGGCCGCCCGGGCCTCCTCACTTCTGCTCCAAGAGCCCCCCAGCCCTCCTCGTGGCTTCCTAAGATCACCCCAACCCTGCCAGGGCCCCTACTGGGCCTGTGGGCGGTGACTCAGCATGGCGCCAGACTTGCCTCCTCTACCTCCCTCCCCCACTTCCTCTTTGGTTCCCTCTTCCCTTCCCCCTAAAGGCTCCACCCCATCCCCCCAGTTTTAGGGACACTCAGGTAGAGACCAGGGCCTCTGGAGGACTCACCTCCAGTTCTGTGACTCCTTGGCTGGCCGCTCCCAGCCATGCCACCCACCCTCCAGCGTCCAAACGTGGTAGCCACAGCTCCCCTGCCAAGGTCTTGGCCTCCAGCCGACCCCAACCCTGAGGTCCTGACTGCCCAGAGCCTCAGTCCCCACCCTCCACCCTCCCCTCCAGCCCAAGGTCTTGACCCCCCAGGGCCTAAGTCCCCAGCCTCCCCACCAGCCCAGGGTCCTGACCCCCCAGGGCCTCAGGCCCTGGCCTCCCCACCAGCCCAACGTCTTGAACACACCAGGGCCTCAATTCCCAGCCTCCCCACTAGTCCAAGGTCCTGACGCCCCCAGGGCCTGAGTCCCGGCCTCCATAGCAGCCCAAGGTCCTGACCCCCCCAGGGCCTCAGTCCTCAGCCTCCCCACCAGCCCCAAAGTCCTGCCTCCCCAGGGCCTTGATTCTCAGCTCCCCACCAACCCAAAGTCCTGAACCCCTCACTGCCCTGCTGTTCCCCTGGCAGGAGCCCAAGGCTATCCCAACAAAAATGGTGGCCATGTTGGGCGGAGGAAGAGCTTGGTGCCCCTTGAGACACGTTCTCACTTCTCAGTCTCTGCCCACCCTCTGCCATCCCCACCCCACTCTCCAGCCCTCCTCCTTGGACACCTCTTTCCCCCACTGGGGTCCAGGAGCCATTTTACCTTCCTTCACTAGAGAAGGTTTCAAGGCGCTTTGCCCTGAGCTTCCTGCATGGGGCTCCCACCCAAGCTCCTCAACACCCCCATTGCGCCTCCACCCAGACCAGCAGCCCAAGCCCCTACAGGCCCCGAGCTGAGGAGCTCCAGTTGGGGCAGCAGTGAAGGTCCGGGTCCTTACCTGAGGCTGCAGAGCAGAGGAGGGCTCGCCCTGTGCTCCAGGCTCCGAAGTGGGGTTCCCTTCAGGGAGGGCAGGGCTTATAACCCCGAGGCCACGTGGGCCAGATCTCAGGGCGCCCAACGGTCTCAGAGCCCGCCCCGCCCCCGCCCGCAGGGGATGAGCGCCCTCCCTCCCTCCCTGGGGAGGACAGACTGACAGGAAACAGAGGGTGGGCCCGCGGGAGGGCTGGGGACCCTCTCTCATGCCCTGGGCAGGTGGCTTCCGGCCCCAGCTGCCCTTCCCCCCATGGCACCAGCTCCAAGGGATGGCTCAGGAGCCTGGGACTCTCAGGGCATTGAGGGTGTCCCCAGAAGAACAGGGCTCCTCGACAGGGCCCTCAGTGAGTGCTCAAAACAGGGAGTCCAGAATTCCAGCACAAGAAAAGGACCTTCTCTCTGAGCCTCACCGCTGCTGACCCCAGCCCAGAAAACTCCCTTCCCTTCCCAACACTCAGGCCAAACCCTGGCTCCTCTGCGTGTGCTCCCATGGGGCCGTGGAGGTGCCGATGCATGAAGGGCATTGGGGCCAGCACACCCTCCATGGAGGCTGTTGTTTTCAGCACCCCACAAAGGCACCCCTCCTGCAGCCTCCGCCTGCAGGGCACAGTGCGGGGGGCACTCTCAGGCCCAGTGGGCCTGATGACACTAGGCTAGGTGTTCATGCTCTCCTTGGGGCCTATGAGGACAAGAGAGCAGGGCAGAGGACCAGGTCCTAAGGTGGGGCACAGGTGCTACAGGGAGAGAAGGGGGCTTGGAGGACTGGAGGGAAAGAGGCTCGAGGGAAGGTTCTGGCGGCCACCGGATGTGGGCATGGGGCCCACCCACCTGCATGCCACCCCCGATTTCCCCATGGGGAAGGCAGGAAGCTGCCCAGCCCAGGGCCCCTGGCTGGGGGAGAGGAGTAGGGTGTGGGGGTGGGCAGTGGGCAGGGTGGGCTGAGCCCGGCCCACACCATCTTCCCCCAGCATTCTCCAAGCCTCTCGATGGGCTTGGTTCTGGAAGCAAGAGGAATGGGTTTGGGAAGGTAGGAGCAGTAGAGAGAAAACCACCCAGTGACTCCTTCCCAGAAGGCCATGGACCTCTTCTCTGGGTCCTCCATTTAGGCCCACACAGACCTTAGGGAGCTGTCAGATTCAGGGCCTAGAAGAGAATTGGCATGGGGGCAGCGGGGAGGGAGACAGCCCCACATCCTTCCCTCCAGGAAGGGGGTCCTTCAACCTGGAAAGTTGCCCCACTCCCGGGTCCCTAAAATGGGACAGAGAAAGGGGAAACAGGGCCTTTCACCCC